AGAGTGGTCCTTCCTGAGGGTCCAATAATTATTTTCTGTGGTCTTGTGGTCCTTACGGGAGAGTAGTAAATATTGTTACATATAATGAGCAGAATGCTAGTTCCATTTTGAGCAATTTAAAAAAAAAAAAAAGATTAAAATGTGAATTTATTATTGTCTTAATACAAAATGCATAAACTCAAAGTAGATTAGACAAATGCTGGAACTAAAAGCAACCCAGCAGTAAAACCACTGTGCTCTGTCCATTATAAAATACTATTTGAAGAGAAGGATTGAGCACACAAAATGTCCAGTATGCATTTTTCAAAGTTTTTTCAGTCTGGTTTCCGCGCTAAGCACTCTGTGGAAACGGCACTGACCAAAGTATCCAATGATCTACTCGCTGCAAAATCTCATGGTCACTACTCTATCCTAATTCTCCTTGACCTGTCTGCGGCTTTTGACACTGTTGATCATCAACAGCTTCTTCTCATCCTCCGCAATATCGGTCTACAAGATATTGCTCTCTCCTGGTGCTGCCCCCACCTCTCCCAGCGCTCTTTCAGTGTTTCTTTCTCTGGCTCTGCTTCTTCTCCCCAACTCCTCTCTGTTGGTGTCCCCCAAGGTTCAGTCCTTAGTCAGCTACTGTTCTCCATCTATACTGCCTCCCTTAATAAACTCATTAGCTCCTTTGACTTCCAATATCATTTCTATGCAGATGACACGCAAATATACCTGTCCTCTCCTGATCTCTCCCCGTCCCTCTTGACTAGTGTCTCTGACTGCCTCTCTGCTGTCTCTAACTGGATGGCTGCCCACTTCCTTAAACTAAACTTGACCAAAACTGAAATTCTGGTCTTTCCTCCCTCAAGTGTTGTTACTCCTGTGTCTGTCTCCCTCCAAGTCAACGGTGCTACCATCAGCTCCACCACGCAGGCTCGCTGCCTAGGTGTTCTCTTTGACTCCGACCTCTCCTTCAAGCCTCATATTCAATCAATCACCAAATCCTGTCATTTCCATCTCAAAAACATTGCGCGCATCCGCCCCTACTTAACGCCAGATGCGACTAAGGTGTTGGTTCATTCCACTGTCCTTTCTCGCCTTGACTACTGTAATCCGCTTCTCAGTGGTCTTACGTGCTCCCAACTAGCGCCGTTACAGTCCATAATGAATGCGGCCGCAGGCTCATCTTCCTGTCTGCCCGCACCTCCCATGCCTCACCCTTCTGTCAGTCCCTACATTGGCTTCCTATAAAATATAGAGCTCAATTTAAAATTCTGGTTCTTGCTTTCAAATCTCTACATAATGCTGCTCCCACCTATCTATCCTCCCTTATACACAAGTATGTCCCGTCTAGGCCCTTACGATCTGCTGAAGACTTACGTCTATCTTCTGTCCGTACTCCCACCTCTGATGCTCGCCTTCAAGATTTCTCGAGGGCTGCACAGTTCCTGTGGAACTCACTTCCCTCCTCCGTTAGATGCTCAACTAGTCTCCACTCCTTCAAAAAAATTGTTAAAAACCCACTTCTTCATAAAAGCATATCAATTAAACTGTTAATAGCTCCTGACTGATTCCTCTTCTGCACCTGTCACTAGTCTAATACTATCTTTACCTTTTTGTGTCATTTTACCCCTACTCTCTCTAGCATATAAGCTCATTGAGCAGGGCCCTCATTCCCTCTGTTCCTGTGTGTCCAACTTGTCTGGTTACAACTACATGTCTGTTCGTCCACCCATTGTAAAGTGCTGCGGAATTTGACGGCACTCTATAAATATCATAATAATAATAATAATAATAAGTGAGCAAAAACTTTTTTGAGACCTTAGCTGGGATTAACTAAAGTGCGAGCTCTTGAGGTTTCTATGAGCTTTTGCCGATTCTCAGAGTTCTCTTATTCTCTGGTTTTGTATACATTATCTTTAATGCACTTAAATTACTGTTTCTTTTGCTACATTTCTTTCAGCTTGCTTGGAAGCCCTGTAAATTTGGTTATATTTTATTACTTTATTTAACCCCTTAAGGACACAACTTCTGGAATAAAATGGAATCATGATGGAATATTTCCGTAATGTGTCCTTAAGGGGTTAATGAAGTCCCATTCACTCTCAGAAAAAAGCAAATGCCTTTATTGAACAGGAATTTTATATTTGAAATAGGTTATGCATTTTTCAAAGTCTATCGTGTAATCTACCACTCAACAAATCTTTTGGAAGGAAATTACAGAAGTGGAAAATATAATTCTGGGCTTTGGTTATGTTCCTGGTTGTAGTGGCTACCCTCAAGCCTCTGATTTTTCACGTCTGACAGTCTTGGCTTTTTTTGTGAAGAAAAAACATGCTCAACTGTAAGATTCATAATGTTAAGGTCTCTTCTTACACAGGAGTGTTCAAAATAGTCTACACAAGGCATGCCTCTTTTAGCATTCCCCTATTCAATATTGCTTGAAAAGAAACAAAATATGCATAGTTATACATGGTAAGTAACATAACAGTTACTTAAGGAACACTCCAAGCACCATAACCACTACAGCACGCTGTAGTGTATATGATGCCAGAAGTGCCCTGGTGCCCTTGCAGTGTAAGTAGTCAAACTGTTTACGAATGGCTTGACTACTTATCTGCGTTGTGCCAGGCACTAGTTGCCTTCTGCTCTGTCAGCTCCCTTCAGGTAAGCCCATGCAGGGCTGTCTTACTGGCTGAGAGTGTCAGCTTAGCGCTCTCAGTCAATGAGCATTAGAACACAACATACACCCCCTGGCTAGCTTAAATCACGTGGGAGGTTCCAAGTTGCAGAGGAGAAGTTACATTTTGCAATGTATTTAATTTTATTTAACTCCTTAGTGACTGCGGACTTATCAGGTATGTCACACAAAAACTGGTTGTTAACGACCTCGGACGTACCTGATACATCCGCGGAACATTTGAATGCTGAAAGCAACCATGATCGCTTCCAGATGCTCTAAGAGTATTACAGCAATGCCTCCATTGCAAGGCATCCTGCAATACCCCCCTCACTGCCGTGGCACCCGGCAGTGAGGCAAAGCATCTGAAGCAATCAGGTGTCGAGGCACTCGGTAAAATAAATAAAAACATTTTTCAAAATGTATATACAAGTAATATCCCCCTCCCCAGGACCTTGGACATACCTAATAGGCATCCAGGCATCTGCCTGCAGGGGGACTGCCTGAACTGACATGCAGTCCCCTGCTGGTGAAAAAAGTTTGAAAAAGTTTAAAAAAAATAAATAAAATAAAGTTAATAAATTTAAAAAAAAATAATATATATATTATTATCTATATATAATATTTATAAATATATCTTATATATAATGTCAATCTAAGTGTATTTTTTAATTAATATATTAATATAAAAATACACTTAGAGTAAAATTACACACGTATATATATATATATATATATATATATATATATATATATATACACATATATATATATATATATATATATATATATATATATATATATATATATACACACACACACACACACACACACACACATTATTATAAAAAATAATTAATAAACAATTAACAATGTAAAAAAATGTTTTAAAAATAATTAATATATATATATCTGTAATTTTATTATATATATATGCAAAATAATCGGCACTCCCAGGATTTGTAAAAAAAGAGATTATTCTTTACTCCATAAACTTACGTTTCAGCTCCACTTGGGAGCTTTCATCAGTCCTGATGAAAGCTCCCAAGTAGAGCTGAAACATCGACTTATGGAGTAAAGAATAATCTCTTTTTTTACAAATCCTGGGAGTGCTGATTATTTCGGTTCTATGTTTAACAGTGCAATCGAGCACCGGGTCTGGATCTCTCTAAGTAAGTAGGAGTGCAGGGCTTTTGTTCATTTTTTAAAATATATATATATATATATATATATATATATATATATATATATATTTACATATAGTCTCCAAAAAGAAAGTTTGCAGCTGAGCACCGGGCCAAGATCTGGAGGAGAGCTGGAGTGCAAAACTCCCATCGTACACTTAGAATGAAATTATATATATCTATGTATATATAATGTGATCCTTGTCACCAGGTAGCACGGTCCTCTAGGGCAAAAACATGCACAGTCCTTGTAGTTGCAAATACTTCAGGCACTTTATTTGTAAATCCACACAGGATACAGCAGTTAAATGAAAACAAAAGTAACAGAAAACCCTATAAACAAACACCTAGCTCGTCTGAGCACTAACTGACATTAGTTCCCTATCTCTCAGGGTTAAACTAAACACAATATTGCACCAACCTTATTAGAGAGCAACGCTCTGCTAGCTAGCCTGTTGCTTTCCTTTCTGCACTCCCAGTGCTCCAAGCCAGCCTTGCCCTGACTGCTTTGCTTTCTGCACTCCCAGTGCTCCAATCCAGCCTTGCCCTGACTGCTTTCTTTTCTGCACTCCCAGTGCTCCAAGCCAGTCTTGCCCTGACTATCTGGAGAGAACAGCCTCTCCCTCCTACCTGCTTCCTGGGAGGAAGCCAGCAATCCCTCTCCTTTTCCTGCCTAGCCGGGAGGAGTTTATTCCCACTGCAACAGCTGATTACCTGCAGCTGAGCAGTGGGTTGGAGACAGTCCAAAAAACCCTTGCCTGGATCTAGGTCTCCCCAGAACACCACTAAACTGTGGAGTGGAGCATTGGCCCACCCTTCTCTCCAAATGCTCCACCCCAGGGGCCCATAACTAAACAATGCGTTGTGTTGTGCAAAACACAAACTACACATACTCTCCCTGGGGTTAAAAGGCCTATCTGCCTTCACTTTATCACATATCCTCCTCCCCAGCTCAGACCCATCGGGTCGAGCGGCCTTAGAACACAAACCGTGAACATTCATAACACCTAGGGTTCTACCAGCTCTGACTTGCTCCTCAGTTACAGGACGTGGCCTATTGCAGATGGCTGCTACCTTGCTCCCTTGATTAATTAGTGCTTGTGCACTCTTCCCTACCACCATCACCACTTTTAGCTGTGCTGTAACACCACCACCAGTCACCATACACATCTTTAAGCAAGTCAATACTATCCTATGCAGAGCCCTTATTCCTACGTCACATTGTATTGGCTCTTCACTCTCAGGACAGTTATATGCAATATGTCCTTGCATGTGGCAGTTGAAGCATATGAGTTCTTTCTCAGTCTGGTCTCGTATGGAGCGCTGTTCTTGTGCCGGAGGCCCAGACTCCCGGCGTAGCTCATCTTTCCTTTGCCTGGTTTCCTCTGCTTGCTCAGCCTTGAGTGGCCACCTCTCAACATCAGCAATGCTTTCCTCTGGGCTTTCTGGCGGTCTCCCTGTTCCCTTGGGGGTGTCCAGAGATGCAGTCATGGCCTCTCGCTGGATCATGACAGCCCCGGTATCAAACAGCTGGTCAGGCAGTCCGAGTCCCGCCTTTAATTCCACAACTGTGTTCCCCGAATATGGCAGCTGTTCGAGGTAGTTAGTGCGCCCAGGCCTTGTAGCAGTAGTCTTTGCCAGCAGATTCAGTTCTACGGCTCCCGAACAATCCTTCAAAGTGTTTGTAGCTATACCAGGTGTCTTTGAAATATTTATTTCTGTTAAGCCAATGTCATCTACTATGTCACTTTCACCTTGGTTGGGATTAGGTGCGTACGTGCCAATCTTATTACCACAGCTTGGTTCTGTAACAGTCGCTCTCTCTTGGTTTAGATCAGAAGCGGCTACTTTGCCTTTCTTGTTTTGACTTTGTTTTGCTACTACTTCTCGGCCTTGCTTTTCTCTGCCAAACTGTTCAACAGCTGGTCGACATTCTTGGGTAGCCTCAGCTACTAGACAGTGCACCACATTGTTATACTCCACTGGGGTGCCTTGCTTCTCTCCATTTTCCTCAGCTCCTCTGCTGTTGTCTTCTCTGACTCCCCAAGTCAGTCTGCTTTTCATGCCTTTGACTTGTTCACTTGGGTGTACATCAGGGGCTTCTGCTTCATTTTTCTTTCCCTGGCTGTATTCACTAGCTTTACTTACACCTTCTGGGTGGTTTTTGCTTACCACAAACTCTTTTTCAAAGACCTCTTTATCACTACTTTTAGGCTCAATTTCATCCTTCTTGCCTTTTAATTCCTGTTCTTTCTCTCCTGCGTGTTTCTCAACAGCACGCTTTGCTGCCTCCATGCTTTTCAGCTTGCTGAAGACTTCTTCTACTGCCTCTGTCATCCCATGCAGGATGTCAGTAGCTTGGTTACAGGGTCCCTTGTCCCCACGCTCCCTGCAGGGGGCAATCTGCAAAACCTCAGTAAGGGCAGCTCTATGCTCCTGCTGAGCATCCCTCAGGTTCTTAACCTGTGCAGCCAGGAAACTGTTTGTGCCTTGTTGTTTAGCCGTTGCCTGTACCACAGCTCTCAGCAGGTCCTCCATTATAGCACCAAGCGGGTAACAGTCTTAAAGGTGCAGTGCTACTTATTTGATTAGCAGGTCTGCCAAAATAAAAGTCCTCAAGCAGACTACCAGATGACTGGCACACCCACAGACCCTCACTGTGCTACTTTGCCCGCATTCTCCACCATATTGTGATCCTTGTCACCAGGTAGCACGGTCCTCTAGGGCAAAAACATGCACAGTCCTTGTAGTTGCAAATACTTCAGGCACTTTATTTGTAAATCCACACAGGATACAGCAGTTAAATGAAAACAAAAGTAACAGAAAACCCTATAAACAAACACCTAGCTCGTCTGAGCACTAACTGACATTAGTTCCCTATCTCTCAGGGTTAAACTAAACACAATATTGCACCAACCTTATTAGAGAGCAACGCTCTGCTATCTAACCTGTTGCTTTCCTTTCTGCACTCCCAGTGCTCCAAGCCAGCCTTGCCCTGACTGCTTTGCTTTCTGCACTCCCAGTGCTCCAATCCAGCCTTGCCCTGACTGCTTTCTTTTCTGCACTCCCAGTGCTCCAAGCCAGTCTTGCCCTGACTATCTGGAGAGAACAGCCTCTCCCTCCTACCTGCTTCCTGGGAGGAAGCCAGCAATCCCTCTCTTTTTTCCTGCCTAGCCGGGAGGAGTTTATTCCCACTGCAACAGCTGATTACCTGCAGCTGAGCAGTGGGTTGGAGACAGTCCAAAAAAACCCTGGCCTGGATCTAGGTCTCCCCAGAACACCACTAAACTGTGGAGTGGAGCATTGGCCCACCCTTCTCTCCAAATGCTCCACCCCAGGGGCCCATAACTAAACAATGCGTTGTGTTGTGCAAAACACAAACTACACATACTCTCCCTGGGGTTAAAAGGCCTATCTGCCTTCACTTTATCACAATAAATAAATAAAAATAATACAAAATATACATATGTCCATATACATATTACATACATAATTTCATAAATATACACGTAGACTTCAAATATATAAATATGTATATATAGTTAAATTCTATGTGCATATTTATGTAATATTTTTACATAATTAAGTAATTTTATTGTTTGCAATTTGGGGGACCTGTCTGACAACCCAGGCCAAAAGTCCAGAGAATTTAATTTGCTAGCACTATATTTAACCCTGTAACTTTCCAAGACACCATAAAACCTGTACATCGGGGGTACTGTTTTACACGTTAGACTTCGCTGAACACAAATAATAGTGTTTCAAAACAGTAAAACATATCACATCGATGATATTGTCAGTGAAAGTGACATTTTTTGAATTTGTCACACAGAAATTGCACTTTCACAGGGTCAAAAATAAGGCTTGATTTTCTGTTTTTTCACATTGAAATTTGCCAGATTGGTTATGTTGCCTTTGAGAGTGTATGGTAGCCCAGGAATGAGAATTACCCCATGATGGCATACCATTTGTAAATGGGGTTTGTTCAGTCTTTTTTAGTAGCCACTTAGTCACAAACACTGGCCAAAGTTAGCATTCATAATTGTTTTTTGCATTTTTAACACACAAACAAATACAAATGCTAACTTTGGCCAGTGTTTGTGACTACTAAAAAAGACTGGACATACTCCATATTGAATAAAAAAATATGTACTGTGAGGTGTGATTCAGAGATTTATGACAGATAACAGTGTTGCAATGTCACTATTGATACATTTTAACACCTTAGTGACCAGACCATTTTCAATTTTATTACCGTTAAGGACCTGGGCTCTTTTTACATTTCTGCGGTGTTTGTGTTTAGCTGTAATTTTCCTCTTACTCATTTACTGTACCCACACATATTATATACCATTTTGCTCGCCATTAAATGGTCTTTCTAAAGATATAATTATTCTAAAGATATTATTTTCATCATATTATATAATTTCAGGGGTCAAGTCCTGGGGAATAAAGTGTGGGAACTCACCCAAGATTGCCCCTCCACATCCCAAAAAAATAATATACACTCGTATATATATATATACACGTGCAGACACACACACTGGCAGGTGCACACACACATACTCAGACACACACAGATATACACACACACATACACTCACAGACACACATACACACACATTCACAGACACACACACAGACACACATACACACTCACACACACACAGACACACACATACACTCACAGACACAAACAGACACACACATACTCTCCCTCCTACCTGCTTCCTGGGAGGAAGCCAGCAATCCCTCTCCTTTTCCTGCCTAGCCGGGAGGAGTTTATTCCCACTGCAACAGCTGATTACCTGCAGCTGAGCAGTGGGTTGGAGACAGTCCAAAAAACCCTTGCCTGGATCTAGGTCTCCCCAGAACACCACTAAACTGTGGAGTGGAGCATTGGCCCACCCTTCTCTCCAAATGCTCCACCCCAGGGGCCCATAACTAAACAATGCGTTGTGTTGTGCAAAACACAAACTACACATACTCTCCCTGGGGTTAAAAGGCCTATCTGCCTTCACTTTATCACAATAAATAAATAAAAATAATACAAAATATACATATGTCCATATACATATTACATACATAATTTCATAAATATACACGTAGACTTCAAATATATAAATATGTATATATAGTTAAATTCTATGTGCATATTTATGTAATATTTTTACATAATTAAGTAATTTTATTGTTTGCAATTTGGGGGACCTGTCTGACAACCCAGGCCAAAAGTCCAGAGAATTTAATTTGCTAGCACTATATTTAACCCTGTAACTTTCCAAGACACCATAAAACCTGTACATCGGGGGTACTGTTTTACACGTTAGACTTCGCTGAACACAAATAATAGTGTTTCAAAACAGTAAAACATATCACATCGATGATATTGTCAGTGAAAGTGACATTTTTTGAATTTGTCACACAGAAATTGCACTTTCACAGGGTCAAAAATAAGGCTTGATTTTCTGTTTTTTCACATTGAAATTTGCCAGATTGGTTATGTTGCCTTTGAGAGTGTATGGTAGCCCAGGAATGAGAATTACCCCATGATGGCATACCATTTGTAAATGGGGTTTGTTCAGTCTTTTTTAGTAGCCACTTAGTCACAAACACTGGCCAAAGTTAGCATTCATAATTGTTTTTTGCATTTTTAACACACAAACAAATACAAATGCTAACTTTGGCCAGTGTTTGTGACTACTAAAAAAGACTGGACATACTCCATATTGAATAAAAAAATATGTACTGTGAGGTGTGATTCAGAGATTTATGACAGATAACAGTGTTGCAATGTCACTATTGATACATTTTAACACCTTAGTGACCAGACCATTTTCAATTTTATTACCGTTAAGGACCTGGGCTCTTTTTACATTTCTGCGGTGTTTGTGTTTAGCTGTAATTTTCCTCTTACTCATTTACTGTACCCACACATATTATATACCATTTTGCTCGCCATTAAATGGTCTTTCTAAAGATATAATTATTCTAAAGATATTATTTTCATCATATTATATAATTTCAGGGGTCAAGTCCTGGGGAATAAAGTGTGGGAACTCACCCAAGATTGCCCCTCCACATCCCAAAAAAATAATATACACTCGTATATATATATATACACGTGCAGACACACACACTGGCAGGTGCACACACACATACTCAGACACACACAGATATACACACACACATACACTCACAGACACACATACACACACATTCACAGACACACACACAGACACACATACACACTCACACACACACAGACACACACATACACTCACAGACACAAACAGACACACACATACTCAGACACATACACACACACATATACACTCACAAATTATTATTATTTTTTTAATTAAAAAATGTCCACCCAGCCTCCCTATCTGGAGAGCTGGTGTGAACCTGTCCCTGTGGGGCGGGCACCTGTCTCCATATCAGATGCGGCGAGGGAGCTGTGTTCTCTCTGCTCCCTCTAGCCGCACGGGCTGTCTACTGATGCCGGAATATGACGTCATATTCCGGCTCCCGGCATCAGCAAACAGAATACAGCTCCCTCGTCGCGTCTGATATGGAGACAGGCGCCCGTCTGGGGGGGGTCCATCAGGCCACCTCTTTGGCCCCCCCCATAAAAAAATAGCAGGAATGCCGTTCCCACGTGTTCCTGCAGGACTCGAGCCCTGTATAATTTACTTTAAAGAAATTATAAAATATGATGAACTTTTTTTTTAAAAAACACACTTTTTCTAACTTTGACCCCCAAAATCTGTTACGCATCTACAACCGCCAAAAAACACAGATGCTAAATAGTTTCAAAATTTTGTCCTGAGTTTAGAAATGCCCAATGTTAACATGTTCTTAGCTTTTTTGGAAAATTATAGGGCTATAAGTACAAGTAGCACTTTCCAAACCATTTTTTTTATTGTTACATTGTAACACTGATATCTGTCAGGAACCCCTGAATAACCCTTCATGTGTATATATTTTTTAAAAGAAGGAAACCTAAAGTATTAAACTTGGGGTATTTTGATTCTTTCCATGCGACCATTATACCACAAATCTATGCCAAATTTTAAAAAAATTATAATAATTGGTGATTTTTTTGACACCCATAGCAATTTAAGAATACATATATGGAGAACTTTAAGGGTTACTGACAAAGAACACCCCAATATGTGTTCAGCAACATCTCCTGAGTACAGTGATACCCCCTATGTTTAGGTATGTTGGATTGTCTGGGGGCTAAAAGACCTTATTTGGAACGTGCGCATTCCAGTTTTCCAACTTGGGATTTTCGCAGCTGGTCATCATGCACCCATGTCCTATTTGGGACATTTCTGAAGCCAGCCAATGCAATTTACCCACATCATTCCATATATTTTGTGTATATCTCAAAGTACACTTATAATGAAATCATACATATGTATTATATATGTATAATATAAAATGCTTTAATTTTTTATAATATATTATACACATATATGTATAATATATTTATTTTATTTTTTAACTTTTTAGCAGCCTGGGGGATGTAATATGTCCATGGTCATTAAGGTGATATACATAAATATATATAATTTCATTCTAAGTGTATTTTGATATAGATAGATAGATAAATATCAAAATACAGTTAGAATAAAATTACATATATATATTTTTTTTAAATAATTCTTATAGTTTTTTTATGTATTTGTAACTATTATTTATTTTTTATAATATATATACACAATCACTGGAATCC